CCCCAGCCAGCTGGCTGGGGGATTCTGGGAGTTGAAGTCCACCCGTCTTAAAGTTGCCAAGGTTGAGAAACACCGGTCAACACACTGAGAACTACAACTCCCCCTCCCATCCCTAGCCAGTGGCTGGGAGTGTGGGGAGTTGTAGTCCAACCACATCCAGAGGGTGCCAAGTTGGGGAACACTGGCCTCCATCCTCTCCGGCTTGGTTACAACCCCAAATTCAAAAAGGATCACAGATCTCTGTTGTGGTTCATCCTACGGTTAGGGCTACCCCAGGCTGACCCTTCGTGGTGTCAATCTGCCCTGTTCCTAACCCCTAGTGCGGTAACCCTGAACTTTTCGCATCCTCAGCTCACCGGATACGGTTTTTATTTTCCTCCCAGCTTCCTCATTTCCAGCTTCCCCGGCTTTCCGACCGCTTCTCTGATGCCCAGCTGGTCTCCATGTCGGTGCGGGACCTCAACCGGCAGCTTCGCGGCTTCGGGAAGGACGAGGTGCAGCGGCTGAAGCAGAAGCGACGTACCCTCAAGAACCGTGGTTATGCCCAGTCCTGCCGTTTCAAACGGGTCCAGCAGCGCCACATCCTGGAAGCCGAGAAGTCCCAGCTGGCTCAGCAACTCGAGTCTCTGCGGGTGGAGGTGGCCCGGTTGGTCCACGAGCGAGACATCTACAAGGCCCGGTGTCAGAAGCTGCTGAGCGAGGCTGCCGGGGGGCATTGTGGGGAGGGGGCCAAGCCCCCCGTTGCTCAGGCTCCCTCAATGGTGCAGTTTTTTCTATGAGCACCCCTGGACTTCCCTCCGTATACATCAAACTGTGGGAGCTGTGCAGGAGATGAACTTGCCAAGAAGCTGTTTCCCTCTTTAGGGCCACCAGAGGGGGACACTGGGCATAGCTCCTTAAGAGGTAGTCCCCTTTTCCACCACCCGATGGTGCAAAAGAGTCTTGACCATCTAGGCATGTTGAGGGCAGGTATGTTTACATGCAAAGCTTTGGGGATTGAAAGCGGGCATGATGCTCCTCTCAAAGGCTCCTGGGAGTTGTAGTTTTGTGAGGGTGCTGCCAGTAATTCCATCTTCCACTCCAGGAACTACAGCACCCAGGGTTCCCCGTGGCCTGATTCCTCAGTCTAGTGAAGTCTATGGTGCAAATAAGGCTGGTCCTCTTGGGCTTGTTGAGAAACGTGTTTTGCCATCATTCTGCTCCCCAAAGGAAAGAGGGAGGCAGAGAGAGAGGGAAGCTGAAAGCAATGCTTCCAGACTCTCCCCAGAGCAAGAATTTGGTGGGCAACGGAGTCACTGCAAGAACCGGGCCAGGGCAAATGAGGTGGCTTCAGAAAGTTTGGGAATCCCTGCTGCCCAGTTTTTAGGTACAAAATTTGCTTTGCCCCATACGGAAGGGGTTTTAGGAGGGGAAGGGATGCGCAGCAGGGATTCTCAATTTCCGGAGCCACTAGGTGCAACGTGGAGGCCATATTGAAGCCTGGAGGGTGCCACGGAGGGAGGGGCTTGCCCCTTCTTGAAATGGCTGCCTTATTGGTGAGGCCAGACCTAAAACGATCAGTGGGTCAAGGAGCCCAAAAGACCCAAAGGCAGTGTTGGAGATGCCACTGTCAAAAACATGCATTACATTTTCCTGTTTGGGAGTGAGAGTTGTGTGGGGGAAAATAAATCTTTTAAGCATCCCCAGCCTGATCCTCTTCAGTCGCATTTTGAGAGTGCAACTCCCAGAATCCCTAGCCAGGATCCCAGAATCCCTAGCAAGCTGGCTAAGCGTTCTGGGAGTTGCGGTCTCCGGCTGGAGGAAGGCTGAGCTAACAGCAGTGTTGGGATTGGACAGGGTTGTCGTGGACCTGTCTGGGGATTTGGCCAGTTTTGTGGGAGAAAAAGTGTGCGAAAAGGGCAGCTTCGAGATGTTTTTGTTGCAAAAGGAGACACACGGTCACCCGTTAGCTCGTGTCAATAAAAACCAGAGTACTTTTACAACTGCCCGTTCCCTCTCTCCTTAGCATGATTTCTCCCACTCCAGCCACCTCTGGGGATCAAATTCCCACGGGGGAGCAAAGACATACCCACGTAAGAGAAGATGGCATTCTCCCGCTTATTCCAAGGGTCCAGAAATCCACGGGCAGAAAGGTGGTGCCGGGGAAATGTTCCAAGAAAAACGGTGGGGACACTTAGCCATCTAGTTTTCTCACCGCCCCCAAGGAACAACTGCGTTAGTTTGACTAAAAATGAAAACTGAACTTCAGGCGGGACCTGCCACTCAAGAAGCGTGTTTGTGTGTGTGCGCGTGCGTGCGTGAGAATTTCCGGGTGCTTGGGAGCATACATATGTGCCTGTTCAGAGCCATACACCTGGGCAGGGCACCCGTGTAAACGTGGGAAAGAGACGCAGCGGTGTGCGCGACCGTGCCCATATGCCTTTGCAAAATTGGACTGCTGCAGGGAGAGCAAGCCGCCTCTCTGTCGTGGTCAGGCAGAAGCGCAGAGCTGCAAACCGTGACGTGGAATTGACCTCTGCGTAAAGCCAGAGGAGCAGAACAAAGCCTTCGCACTACAGGTAGCCTTCGTTGGATGGATGGATGGATGGATTCATTATGGGCCATGCAGTCGTTTTCGACTCCTGGCGACCACGGAGATAGATTTTCTCTATCCTTATCCTGTTCTTTCTAGTCTCCCAAGGGTGCACACCTCACGACTGCCACTGAGTCCCTCCCCCTTGGTGCTGGTCCTCCTCCTCTTCTCTTTCCTTCCACCTTTCCCAGCATCAGAGCCTTCTCCAGAGAGCTGGGCCTTCGCATCATGTGTCCCAAGTAGGATAATTTGAGCCTGGTCATCGGTCCCTCAAGTGAAAACTCTGGGCTGATTTGTTTGAGGATCCATCAGTTTGTTTTCCTGACTGTCACAGTATTCTCTGCAGTCTTCTCCAACACCCAAGTTCAGATTTCCCAGCATCAGAGCCTTCTCCAGAGAGCTGGGTCTTCGCATCATGTGTCCCAAGTAGGATAATTTGAGCCTGGTCATCGGTCCCTCAAGTGAAAACTCTGGGCTGATTTGTTTGAGGATCCATCAGTTTGTTTTCCTGACTGTCACAGTATTCTCTGGAGTCTTCTCCAACACCCAAGTTCAGAGGTGTCAAGACTCTTCCTCTCCTGCTTCTTTAAAGTCCAACTTTCCCTTCCGTCGAGTGTCACAAGGAATGCTGTGGCTTGCACGATTCTGATCTTTGTACACATAGACACATCATGGCATTTGAATATCTAGTCCTCGTTTAGCAACCATAATTAGGACCAGCAACTTGTTCATTAAGTGAAGCGGTTGCTAAAGGAAACTACGACTGTGATCATATTTTAGCTTTCCTTGGCTTTACAGACCTGCGAAGGTCATAAATGTGAGGATCAGTTGGAAAGTTACTTTTCCATCACTGTGGTAACATGAAATGGTCACTAAATGAGGACCACCTGTCTTGGACACCCCCTGTTGTGCACTGGAATCAGACAAGCCAAATATGGCATGCGCAGTCCCACAGCCGTGATAGGAGTTTTGGGAACTGCAGACCCATGAAGTGTGGCTGTAAGTATTCTTTAATAACTTGTGGGTTGCTTGTGCACCAAAGTTGTACAGTTGAGAGGGAGCAACACAAGGTTGGGTGTGAACATGTGTGCTTTGCGGTGTGCTTCCAAAGGTTTATGGACTTTATCAATCCCACCTCACGCCACAGACATACAAACCAGCTCTCTTTAGCTCCTACCATTTTCTTCTACATTTATTTTTCAGTTTTCTTTTTCCTCCTTTCTGTCTCTCACAAGTGAAACTTTAGAAAGTTCCCAGCTTATTATTTTTAAAATAATAAAACATCCCCCCCCCAAAAAAACAACAACCTCAAAGAAAACCTGTATGGAATTGTGTAGGTTTTGTTGAGTGAAATGGGAACATTTTAACACCGCTTGTAGTCAAAGCCTGGTGGCAGATCTTGTCTGAGTTGGAAGCTAAGTATTTTATTTTTGTTTGTTTCTTTAAACAATTTATGTGGCCACCCACCCCACAAGAGTGGCTCTAGGCAGAGAAGCAAGGATTCAGATCAAAAGACAAGCTAAAGGTTTTGTTAAAACCATCAGCTGAAAACTGGCAGTACAACACATGCTTGTGGTCTGAAAAAAATCCCATATTCACAATTAGAAAAGGAACTGCAGCCAAACAAAGAGTTGGGCCTGCCTCCTACTTGGATGGGAGACCACTCAGAAGGCCTGGGGTTGCAGGCTAGACTGGCAATTTGAGAAACATCCAGGGAGAAAATCATGGCAAATAGTTTCCATGCAGTGGCCAAGAAAACCCCATGGATAAATCCATGAAGACATCTGAAGGAGGCTGCTACTGATAGTCCACCAATCTCACGAGCATCTTAAAATGTTGTTTATCCCACCCTGGAGGTAAGGGCATCTCTGAGACTTTTGCCTTTGGCACCAGCAATCTGATCTGGCTAAAATCCAGGGGGAAAAGAGTGGGACTTCAACGGGACACCAGGGCAGGTAGGCTCAAAGTTCATCTGCCATGAATGTATTGCCCGACCTTGGCTTCAGTGTAATGGAATATTATTAATCTAAGATGCACATGGGAGGGGGCAGATAATGATTGCAAAATTGCATGTGTGTTTTGAAAGGTCCGTGCAGATGAAGAATAATTGCAGTTAACCCTTGCGGCGCAAAGTCCCAGCTTGGCCAACCCTCTGAAATAAACCCTTCCCTCTGTTTAGAATAAATCGCTTTAGCCGAGCTGGGCTTTGCCCCTGGCTGAACACAGGATGGCTCTCGGAGACGGACGGACCTGCGTGTAGTACTTTTCTGACGTGCTGTTTCATTTCCAAGTAAGTGACATGACACGCTGTGCCGAAAGGGAGAAGGAAATAGGAAATTTGAGAAATAAAGGCACGAGATTAAAAAAAGAAATCTAGCTCCTACTAATTGACACCAACGCCACTCACTAGATCCCTCCAGGCACTGCTTTGTACAATCTTTCCTTCTTTAAACTTCTCCCCTCTGCTTTTTCCAGAACTACCCGTTTTTTGGCACCTCAATCTATGTCTTCTTTGGTGCATGGTTTGCAATTTGATCCATGCGGCTTTTTATTCAGAAGCAAGCCCCCTCAATGTATTGCTTTCATCCTGGTCATTTTGCTCTTGAATCCAATCCCCGTTCATTCAGCTCCCATTCCTTCTTGGCCCAATCGCTCTTGCTTTACCACGCGCCCATAAGGACCCCCTCGCCGTGCAGCCAACTTTCTTTTCTCTTTTTTGCAGTGAAGCGAGGAGAAGCGGGCTCTGATACACAGCTATTTTCACTCCTTCTTGACCACACGCAGACCCCCAACTTTTGAACAGCATTTGCACACCCTGAGCTTTCCATCAGAATTCTGCCAAATGCTTGGCAGGCAAATTAAATAAACAATATCCTCTTTAGCCTTTGCATTTTCTCTTGATACCTTACCCTTTGTAAAAGAGGGGGGGGAAAGAAAAGAAAAACAACGCAGCATTTAATTGTCAGACCCAGTTGCCACCTTCATCCACCTGCTAAACAGGTCACCTAGTTGCTTCCTAAGCAAACCGTGTCCGTATTTTAACATTTCTCCCATTACACCTCTACTCCTGCAAACTTACTGCTTTGCAACATTCTCATGCATGCTGGCTGGGGAGTTCTGGGAGTTGAAGTCCACACATCTTAAAGTTGCCAAGACTGAGAAACACTGAGCTAGAGGTTACATGAAACCTATCGATACATACTTTATCCTCAAAGAAACCATGTTTAGCATAAGTTGCTTTTGAGTGTTGGGTTGTGTCTCTAAGTTGAACACAAGGTGGCCCCAGAATACAAGCAGATCTGTTAACAAGGGTTGGAAGAGGGCATTTCCCTTCCCAGCAGGGATGATCAGGAAGAGAGAATTATTTGATATCTTCCATCTCTGAGTGTGGACCCTTTAAACATTTCTGTGAACAGCAGGAATTTACAGGTCAAAATTTGCTCCTGAGTAGACTCTTTTCAGTCCCAGGTGCCAAAATGCTTCTTGATTTACTGAGGATGAGGTGAGTGAGACGGTACCCAGAGCAATGATGGAGGAAAATTAGATAGTGACTGGGATGAGTTAATATTTGGGCCTCTACTATGGCAATGAAGTGGCTGAGCGTTCTTACTTCTCAGCATTTCATCCACCCTCAATTCTCACCCTGTAAGTCTTCTTCCGGATAACCCACTCCTAGTGGTGGGACAATCATCCAGCAGGATTTAGTGGGTTCTCTGCAGATAACATTGCTCATATTTACTCCAAGTGAGAGACCAACTGCACAGAATCCAATGTGATGACTTGGGTACGTCTTGCCATGTTATTTGGGACTCAGTTAATCTTGTTGAAAATGAAGAAATATATAGGATTTTCTAGGGAAAGAGAAGAACAGCCTGTGAGTTGGATCCCTGTCCCTCCTGGATCCTCTGTATGCAAAGAGGGACATGAATGGCTGGATCCAAGAGGTGACAAATACTGATTTCAAAGAGAGCAAGGTGACACCAGTTTTGGAAGAGATGGAGTGGACTTTCTCTTGAAGAAGCCATCTCTTGATACAACCATGTTGGACAACTGCTGCCCTCTCTCCAGCTTTCATTTTGGGGGAAGAGGGTAGAGAAGGTCATGGTGGCTCATCTTCAGTGGATACAAAGAAAGCAGATTAGCGGATCTGGATCCTTTTCAGTCTGGATTCAGATGAAGGCAGCATTAAGGTCACTCTGGTGGAGACCTCTGAAACTTAGAAAAGGGGAGTGTGCCCCCTTTGTCCTGTTAGACAACTCAGAGGCTTTTGATACTTCTGAGAAGTATCTCACTGGATCGCCAACAGAAGTTGAGAGTTAGAGGCACCATTGGGTGGTAATTCTGCTCCTACTTTATCAGGAGGTTCTAGTAAGTAATGGGGGACTCGGCTACCTCCCCACAGCTTCTCAGCATCTATATGAATCCCTAGGGAAAGATCATTTGTTGGTTTCAGGTGAATAGCCATTACTGTACTGATGATACTCAATTGCATACAGCCACTACAGGCTGAACTGCGGTCCTGACCTTGGGTCTAGAGGTTGTGAGAATGAGTAAAACCAAGGTCTGGCTAAAATCCCAGTAAGACAGAGTTGAAATATCTTAACTTTGTGACAGTCCCGGTGTTGGCCCTGGCCAGGATCCCCATGTAGATCCACAATGTGGGGTTCCTCATAGCTCTTGCTGGAAGAGCAGATGGAAGCCTGGACTGGTGTAGCCCTATCTGAATTGGAAAGCCTTGTCAATAACTTCTGCCTTTATCACCACTCCATGTAATTCTGTATTGCACTCATGTGGGACTACCTTTGAAAAGGACCTGGAATTTCCACTGGTGGTAGAAATATAGTGGACTGGTGCTGAAAGAGGACACCTCCTATTCTTCGACCGGTTACTCCATTGGCTGTCCATGGCTTCCAAGTCCAAGTTGAAGGGCTGGCCTTGATGTATAAAACTGTGTAATGGGAATAACCTTGAGGAACAGGAGGAAGAGCCCCAACCAAAACAACGGTCTGATAAAAAAAATCTGAGCGTGGGCCAGAATAGTAATCCGAGAAAGAGACTCAGGCAAGACCCTCCTAGTTCTCATGAAGACGAGGGAGGAAAAGAGGGAAGCCCATTCAGACTTCCAAGATTGATATCAGCCCTTCAGAGCAGACCAGACTAGGAAACCAAAGCCATGCAAGCTAATACTACTTTTATCGTAAGGTTACAGTAACAGAATCTTGCAAGTCTGAAGGCACTTCCCCACTCCCTCCCTTTATCTTCGTGAGAACTAGGGAGAATCTTGCCTGAAATGCTTTCTCAGGGTACCATTCTGGCCCGGACTTAGATTTCTTTTATCAGACGGTTGTCTTGGTTGGGGCTGTTCCTCAAGGCCATTCCTTCTGTCCATTACAATTTGGCTCCAGGTTACTTTACAGACTGTGTCCTCTGGGAGGACCTGCCCAGGCCCTTCCCACTCCCATAGGGAAGCGATGCTCAGGGTCCCACCCGTATTAGAATTCAGAGGAACATGGGCCCAAGACAGACCTTCTCTGTGATGGCCCCGCAGCTTTGTGGACACCAGGCTCCCAGAGATACGTCTGGCAGGCAGGCTCTCTCTTGGCTGTCCGTAAGGCAGAATTGTCCAGGCTGATATCAATCTTGCAAGTCTGAATGGGCTTCCCTCTTTTCCTCCCTCCGTCTTCATGAGAACTAGGAGGGTCTTGCCTGAGTCGCTTTCTCAGATTACAATTCTGGCCCAGGCTCAGATTTTTTTTATCAGACCGTTGTTTTGGTTGGGGCTCTTCCTCCTGTTCCTCAAGGTTATTCCCATTACACAGTTTTATACATCAAGGCCAGCCCTTCGACTTGGACTTGGAAGCCAAGGACAGCCAATGGACCTTGTCCAGGCTACGACCATCTTGTCTGGACAAAGCGTTTGGGGGTTGCTGAGGGAGGGTTGTTAGGTGACCGAGAGGGGCGGGTGCTGTTATGGTGATGCATTGAATTTTGATATGGTACCATTAAAGCGTTTATCGATTTGATTGATTTTAAACGTAGTCAACTGCCAGGAGTCGATCTGAGAGCCGCAGGATTAAAAGCGGAAGAAATAAGCAGACAAACAAACAAACAGACAAACAACTCAAGATTCCTTTCGTTCCAGCATGGAGGGTCCTGAAAGCTATAAAAGATGCTGTGAAAAACCCCAGAAAGAAGAAATTCGTCCCTATCTGATCACGATTCTGGGTCTATAGGAGGAGAAACGCCGTTCTGGATAGAAATACTGAACCCGGACCTACATGGACGGCCACGTTTTATCTCATTATTTCAGGTTTTCTTTTTTCGTCGTCATTGGCTTATTTTTAGAATATTAATAAAATACCGTGCTATTTTATGATATACCTATATGAATATTACTTCGTTTCGTTCCATTCTGTTTCGTTCTGCCGGAGAGAAAAGTCAGCCGGCCTGCCAGAAGGGAGGTTGGGTGAGCAGAAGCAGCGAGCGAGCAAAGTCTTTTGCCAAATGACGGGTGATTTCAACTGGGACCCCCAGGATGGGGCTAGGGAGACCACCTCCCCCCCCAAAACACAATTGCCTTAAAGAAGAACTGCTGGCCCCGGCCGTTGTAGCTTTGGAGCTCATCCCGGGTCTGCAAGAACTGTCATGGTGCGTCCCCTGCACCCCCCAACCTCAATTTTGCTGCAATTTCTACGGAAATGTAGAATCTTCCCCCAGCCTGCTAATTTCTTTTTCTTTTCAGCATCTGCTTGGAGGCTGGGTGTTATTATCCGGGTGCAACAGGCATGACAATAGATATTAGAGCAACATCAACCTAGCCTCCCGCTGGGTAAATATTCCCCCATATCCTCCCAGGGTGGGTGGGGGGCTGTGACAAGAAAGCTGCACCCCGCTGTCACCCCTGGAGCCTTGCAATTAAATCCCCAGTGCAATGGCTCCCCAACGGGGCCAGGACGGCTTCCAGCATGGGCTCTCTCCCCTCCCAGGCTGGACGCCTTCAAGATTTCCCCCTCCTCTTCTGTAGCCAAGGGCAGTCTCCCCCCCCACCCCAAGCTGGAGTCTCTCCAAGGGGTTGGACGGCAACAGATGGCAAGGCCTGGATAACGCAGAGAAGCCCAGAGGGTTTCATAATTTGGGTTTTGTCATCCCCTCATCCGCCTGCTTTGCTGTAGCCGGCTTCCAGAAGATGTGTTGGCACGACCTGCGCACAGTGGATTGTCTTTGCTTTTCTCTTTTCGCAGAAACCTAGATCTTTTGGCCATAAAAACTGTAAAGCAAGGTTTCTCAACCTTGGCCACTTTAAGACGTGTGGACTTCAACTCCCAGAATTCCCCAGCCAGCAAAATTTTGCTTGGGGGATTTTTGGGGTGTAGAGTTACAACCTTTTAGTGGC